CTTAGTATCCCAGATAATGGCTTCTACTAGTCCTTTGTTTTCCAAGAGCGAGACAAGTATGTGATGCAAAAAAATTTTTAAATAGCAAACATAAAGTAGAGGATGGGCAAAATACAAATCGGGAAAAAAATTGCAATAGGTAGGCCATTTCAAACAAAAGCCTTATCCCACCATCAGATGATCGATTTGTGGATTAGAAAAAAAGGACATCAACGAAATGTTTAGATATCATTGTTCTAAAAAGTCCTTTCCGACCAAATTAATTCTGACTTATAAATTGTTTGGAAACAAATTATGTCGATATCATCTAATATGTGAATTATATTGAGTTGTGCGACAAGTTTGCCATTGTTTTCAAAGTCAAATTGTTATAGGAGATAGGAAGTTTCCATGGCACAATATATAACCTCGAGAGTAGAAGCCTTCATCTACATAATTTTATACAGATGTGTTAGAAAATATCTATGCAAAGAGCTAAAAATGCTCAACCAACAGCTTAAATTTTTCTGAATTGTGAGGAGCTTTGAAGTAGTAGTACAATGATTCTATCTGGTGGGATATTTGGATATACTGATTACGAAAATTATAGCTAATCTTTGCGATAGGACCAACGGTAGGATTACGGTAGTTACACGATATAAGGTGAGATTCAAGATTCGCCTAAAAAGTGGTCTACTAGGGTTGACTGAGGTGCCGATCCCAAATATCATATCCATTTCTATAGAGAAGCTGTTTGCACACTAAATATGAAACTGCAATTTTCCTTTCTTAGAAGATCAGTGATTATGAGCTTACTCGTAACTCCACTAACTTTACAATGAGGGCTTATTGTACGATGTGGGTATCACTTGTGTGATCATCATATCAAATAATGTCGTTAGACTATTTTTCAGAGAAAGACGTGATTTTGACCACTATAGAATGTGCCTACCGTAATCCTACAGTAAAACTCTGTCCTGAGGAATGGATGTGATTTCCGTGATAAGTGTGTCCGATCACCCCAC